CTAGCGTCTTCCTGAGCATTGCCTGAAACTGAAATCTTGTAAAAGGAGCCGAGTTAGTATGAATAAAGAAATACCCGTCTGTACGCGGTCGCACAGCCAAAAATCGCGTCAGAGCTTGGACGGGGGCACAGTATGGACTGAGGGACTGCCTGAATGGCGATGCGTGTGCCGCAGCCTTGTTGGTCTGTTTTGGAGGCCCGTAGGACCACCTCCACTTAGGATTGGTCGCTAGCAAAAGACATGTCATTCAGCAACACCGCCCGCTGTGACAAGTAGCTGATTGAACCAGCGACTACCTCACTTACCCTGAAAAACCCTAAAAATGTTAGCAGGTATGTCGCTGAAAACAGAGAAGCTTCACATGAAGACCTACATACAGTGGGGAAGAGTTGCACAATTGAGAGTAATGGGCTTGAGAGTAATAGGCTGACGTGTGTCTGGCTGCATCGATCTCCTGGCCATCCCTGCAATGGCTTTCTGCACTAGAAAGACATGCACTGCAAGGAATTGAGCTTATGAATGGAGGATAATGCTGAAATGTAAGAACAGGCCGTGCTGGGAGACCTACCTGATAATGAGAGATAAGCTATAAAATGGAGCATATGATCTAAAGGTACAGGCCATATGTCAGACAGGGAGTACACCGCCCGAAATAGACACAGAGACTGAACCGTCGACTCATAAGTCCTCCAAGTGTTGGCTGCCATCGAGTTTGCTACTAGGCTGTTTGCTTCCGCTGTTAGATGAGCCAGATATCTGCTGGGATTCCAGAGGCCTGTTGATCCGCCTGTGGGGCTGCTGCTTGAAACCGTGACCACTGAAATCTCGAAAGAGTGCCTGCTATTTTGTTGGCCTGGGTAGGTATATACCGTGCTTTGAAGTGTATGTTGTTTTGCAAGCATATGAGTACCATTCGTCTGAGCAGTTTCATAACCCTTTCCCCTTTGGCGGTGTGCCTATTGATAATACTCACCACGGCCTGGTTGTCACAGAACATAGTACCCTTTTGTTGGCCAGGCTGCTGCCCCAGATGCGCAATGCCACGACTACAGGAAAGAGCTCCAAACAATTAATGTCCTTCACCCATCCTTGTTGTATCCATAGGTCTGGCCACCTGACATTGGCCCAATGACCTTGGAAATATGCGCCCCAACCCTGGGCACCAGCTGCGTCTGTATAAAGCTGAAGCATTGGGTTGGTAACCCAACCCTGTTCCAAGAACAGTTCCAAGTTGTGCCGTTATGCCTGGCAAGGAAGTGAAGCCACAGGTTTAGGTCTTGAGACATACCCACTGATACTTGTATCCTGTGGTGCGGCTTGCATGCCCCTCTTTGTGCGTCAATGAGACGCCGGAAGAATGGACCACCCATTGGAATTGCCATGCATACAAAGTTTAGCTTGCCCACTATTGATTGCAGCGTATGCAGTGTGACTTTCTTGGATGGTGCCTCTACCAGCTGCGACCAGCTGATGGACCAGTTGTGCTATCTTGTCCTGAGGTATCCCGATTTCACCCCAAGCCTTGTCTATGGTGAGGCCCATAAATGTAAGACAAGTTGTAGGTTGTACTGTCTTCTGGTGAGCGATAGGGACGCCCAGATTATCAGCAAGTTGCAAAGAGGTGTTAAGCATGTTGGAGCAGTTGCTGCCAGGATAAAATCATCAAGGTAATGAGCGATGTCCTGGCTGCGTGTAGTGGCCTTGATGGCCCATTCAATGAAAGTGCTGAATGACTCAAATAGGGCACAAGAAATAGAACACCCGAAGGGAAGACATTTATCAATGTAAAATTTTCCCGGCAACTTAATGCCAAGTAGCTGAAATTCCGATGGTACCACAGGCAGGAGACGAAAAGCTGATTTGACGTCAAATTTTGACATGCATGCACCCCTGCCCAAACTTTGGTCAAAATTGGTATACTGCACTGTACATGCTTCTTGTGGCATAAAATCATTGTCTGATGAGCCTTGAGGATGTGATAGATGATGGATGAGGCGGAAGGCAGCCTTACCATGAACTGATGAATCGGCTGTCTTAGGCACCAAGCCGATAGGGGAAACTATAAGCGAGTGCACTGGTCTGTGCGAAAATGGGCCCGCTATGCGACCCAACTGGATTTCTTTTTGTAGCTTTTGTTCCACTATTAGTGGCTGTTCCCTGGCAGATTTAAGGTTGACAGCGTCCCGAGTGACCCGTGGCCCTGCATAGTTTAAACTAAAACAATTACTGAAACCCTGCTGCAGTAACTGAGCAGCTGCTGGGATGCACAACTTATAATGTCTCAGCCACTGTTCCAAGCAAACGATGTTAATAGGACTTGGGCCGTGTGAAATAGCTCTGCCTGGCAGAGTAGACTGTCGCTTGAGAGTTTGTGTGGGGACTGTGTTCCTTTTGCCAAGAAAACAAGACGTGGCGCCATGTCTGCCGATGTTACATGCCGAGTACCTGTCTGCATAACGGCACGTCTAACCCCTGTCACAGGCGCCATGATTAAAGTTCCTACATACCTCACAAGACGTGCGCTGCTGGGTGTAGTTGGAGGATATGGCTGGGTAGGAAAATGCTTGCTGTTTGTGGCTGGGGAGCATTAACTGCAGCCACAGCTGTCAGTCGATGGCACCCCATGACCGAGATGGATTCCTCTCCATTTTTTGCCGAAACAGGACATCGTACTGAGACCAGCAGTCACCACCAAACCGTGCGGCGGCCCTAGGGCTGGGACGATTCACCGCGATACATTTAAGTTTGATACAGCTATCGTATCGTCGACTGGTGTATCGATACAAATGGATACACGACTTTTTTTCAAAACAGTATTATCTTAAACATGATAAAGTACATATTTAGATAAAAATACACAAGTATGATGGGGTTACTTGATTATTTATTACAATAATGTTATTGTTATGCACAAATACCTTGTAATAAATGATTTTAAATCTTAATACTGTGTCATTCTCTCAAGGTGTATGTATCGTGATACGTATCGTATCGCAGGTAAAATATCGCGATATGTATCGTATCATAGTGTATCGTCCCAGCCCTTGGTGGCACCGCGGATCGTCTCCATGTACGAGAGCATTTGTTGGATCTTATTTACATCCGCCTGACGCTCTATTACAACGCTGATGTATATCAAGAAAGCAGATGTCCAAGACCCAATGTTTAACTGACGGACAGACTGCTGCTTGGTTTAAAAGACCACCTGTCCTGAAGTGTCAAGCTCCATTGTGAAATTGGAACTCTCCTGTGCTGCCTGGTTCTATGATGGCAATAGGGACCTCATGTCTATAAATACACTGCCATGTGCGTTGCTACACTGGATACTTATCATAAGCTCAGTGTATGAAGCTATGCTAAGGAATTGTAAATGCTGCCCATCACCAATTTAGCAAAATATCCCGCCATATTACCTGAAGGTTGAGACAGATGTTTTAACGAAATACACGACATACCACGTTAGCTGCAATGCCGCAACGAAGGTGATTAGAAATGAAGTTAAACGTTACATACCCGAGTGTCTTTCACTCGCCAGGGAAGTGTGCGAATGCCTTGTACATGCTGCCTATAAACCCGGTAGGCGAAATAATGCTAAATGTAGTGTTGGGAATCGGAAACCAAATCCACTATCGATTATCGGAGGATTGTGGTGAACAATTATTGATTATAATCGAAGTATGTACATTTTTGATGATATCACCAATTTCAAGGGTTTCCCCCCAGGTTTTTTCTAATGTATGTTGTTTAAACTAATACTGTCAGGCAATGAAATACACGCATGCAAGAAAGACACTGGAATTGTAATTAAACAATAAAAGTGGTTAAAATGTTACAATGCGCTTAGCTTTATGCTGTTTAGTGCATGTTTGTTCGTGAATATTTGTTAAATTTAATTTTTACTTTACTTCATTCAAGTGTTATACTAAAACAACAAAATTCTGCTTAATTGAAAATATGTTTTTTACAATTGATAATCAATTTAATCCTTCTTTCAATCGGTTTTCGATTATTTTCGATCATCGGAACACCACTAGCTAAATGTCATTTTTATTATGGTACAGGGTGAAAACGAAACAAAATATAAAATATACATTGTAGAGCAATAAACTTGTGCTTGAAGTCACAGCTCACACCCCAGCAGGTTTTGGTTTTCATTCAAGAGCACCACCCTTTACCCTGCTACACAATGACATCGAGGTGTTGTCAAACAAAAAATAGCCGTTTTGGAAAAACCCAGGCTAAAAATAGCGGCATTGACACATTGAGGTACCCTCTACATTTCTGATTGTTTTTAGGGTGCAAGGTCTCAATGAAAAGCATGATCACTTGACCGGTAAACTTTACAAATGATCGATATTTGAAATGCAAGCCAGTCAATATGTCCAGCTGTTAAAAATGCCAGTGGAAACACTGATATGGGACCAGCTGTTCCACTCATAGGCCCCCACTGCGGGTCAGAAACTCGATGAACTAAGCCCCGGTTTAGTATCCACACCCTCTACTACATAATATGTAAAGGTTCATCACAGAAATACAGTGACATGATCGAAAAACGGACAATTACGGACACGCCAATGAATATATTGTATTTTAAAGGTCTCACAAGTATCAAAAGCTTTTTGTCCATATTTCCGATGTGTGCAGGGGGCATATACATGTGCTTTGCTGACGACCTAGTTTTGCATACTTCCAGCACAGCAACTCGGCCTTTGGCGACTTGATAAAAACCAAAAATGCATCCCCACGGGAAGCATGTGTATATGCCTCCTACGCACATCAAAGATATGTACAAAAGCTTTTGATACTTGTGAGACCTTTAAAAATATGATATATCGATTGATGTGTGCGTAATTGTCCGGTTTTCGATAATGTCACTTTTTTTGTGTGATGAACCTTTACATATTATATAGTAGGGGTGTGGATACTAAACCGGGGCCTAGTTTATCAATTTTCTGACCCGCAGTGGGGGCCTATGATTCCACTGATGGGAAGAGACTTACCCTGATCTGGAATACCTAAGTCCAAACTCAGTGAAGAGACTGTTTTTCTATTGGTTGAATACTGGACTGCGGTCTTCTTGGAGTTTCTGTTTGCTGATAGCTGCTGGCTCTAGGTTCAATACTGGACTGCGGTCTTCTCAGTGTTTCAGTTTGCTGATAGCTGCTGGGTGTTGGTTGAATACCGGACTGCGGTCTTCTCAGTGTTTCAGTTTGCTGATAGCTGCTGGGTCTAGGTTCAATACTGGACTGCGGTCTTCTCAGTGTTTCAGTTTGCTGATAGCTGCTGGGTCTAGGTTGAATACTGGGGTCTGGTTGAGTACCGGACTCGCGGTCTTCTCAGTGTTTCAGTTTGCTGATAGCTGCTGGGTCTAGGTCTTTTCAGTTTGCTGATAGCTGCTGGCTCTAGGTCTTCTCAGTGTTTCAGTTTGCTGATAGCTGCTGGGTGTTGGTTGAATACTGGACTGCGGTCTTCTCAGTGTTTCAGTTTGCTGATAGCTGCTGGGTCTAGGTCTATCTTTAAAGCCTTCCATCCTCCCTCTCTTGAAGCTGCTATCGTCTCTGAAGCCATGCATGCCGCCACCTCTTTTCAAGCCTCGTGATTCTTGAGGAGAAGCAGGTGCTTCCTTTCCATAAGAGCCTCTTGTCATTGCACCTATTGATTGAGAAAGATTTTGCGCATGTTCTTCAGAAAACTGGTTCCTGTCAACTGCATTTCCTCCACTATGCTGCCTCTCAGCAGCCATTCTCATTCTTAACTCCTGTTTTACTCCTCTATCGAGTACAAAACTGTCCCGACCCTGTTCCATTCCTTGTAAAACTGTGGTATGTCTCGACATATCACTAAATCTGTAGTGTTCAGATTCCCTAAACGGTTCTGCAGACTGACCTCGATGACTTACATGAGACCATTCAGTTCTGGTTTCATTTCTAGGCTGATAATAAGGACCTCTAGTTCTGTTACTGTTAAATTCAGGCTCACTCAGGTTTCTAGGTTTTTCAATATCTGGCCGGTTTCTACCACCTTCAAAGGTATCCAATTTCTTACTTCCAATTTCCATTGGATGTAACGTTTTACTACGCTTGCTTAAGAATCTGCCTAGATCTTTTTCAACATTAGGAGTTGAAGTTTGACCTGTTAATTCCATGCCAAATCTGCTGACTGTGTCCATGGACGTATTGGTCAACCTGTCCATCTCCAGGCCACTCCTGGAATTCCCCCTTGTCCAAGTTATCTCACTTTCCATGCCTGTTGGGCCTCTGCTTTGGGTACCAAAGTAATCTATACGTTGCTCTTTCTCAAATGACTCATCTCTGAAGGAAGGCCTGAGACCACCCCTAGTGTGTGAAGTAGTATCTGTCCGAGACTCCTGCTGGAAATCATAGTTTGATCCTCGTCCGTATCCGTGCATTTTGTCAGACATTATTCTGCTGCCAGGGGAGAACTGTGATGGGTTTTGGTCAGCATCACCCCACATTTTGCCACTTGTCTGTTGGCTCGTCCTGTCAAAATATCCTGTCCCCCTGCTGTCATGCTGAAACCTCGACCTAGAATACCTGTCTGACCTTGAGAACTGTGATCGGTTGTCTTCAGGATCATCCCAAAGGCTGGAGTTCATCTTGTCCACCTTCTCCTTCCGCATAGGCCTTCCCAAACTGAAACAATGACATTGAATAAATGTATGATCTTTGAGATCACCAGCACCTAAAAGAACAGAAGACGACTAATTGTATGGGACTGAGCATTGATATTTGGGGATGGGAGTGAGCTTGGTTTTACGTTCCTTTTAGGCCATATAAAAAGATGTTGTGGTTCCGATTACACCTCTTTAAAATTTAGGGTAGGTAGGTAGGATTGTTTTTTTTACAATTTTTTTTAGAAGTAAAGTACAAACTAATAACACATTAAACAATGTGTAATTGTTTATTCAATCAAGCTTGCGGCCATTGTGTCTCTATCAGAATGACCGATGTCCGTCGGTGCCGGGGAAAAACCAATGGTATCTGAAAGACTATTTTATTCATACCGCTTGAAAAACATTTCAAGGGTCAGTCACGCAATCGGAACCACAACATTATTTTTTATTTAGGCCTTAGCAATATTCCAGCAAAATCATGGCAAGTTGAGCAAGAAATGGGTGTCACAGGCTGTATTTTGCATTTGAGACAGTTGAACAGCATGTTCCAAATTCCAAAGGTCAGAAGATGGTTGCTACTGCAAGGAAGATTCATTCAGTTGCAGAAAGGATGCAAACACCCTTTTGGTAGGCTGGGTGTGGAGCCCTGTAATGTGTTATTCTAGATGCCATGATATGTATTTCTGGTATGCCATTATTTCAATATTGAAAATATAGTTGCAAGCAACAATGAGGGCTCCTTGACTTTAGTTCTATCTATTGTATTTGAGGGCTAGAAATCATCGTCCAAAACGGAGCCAGAACACGTTTTTGACAGGCAAGTGGATCTTCCAAATACAGCCGGGGTCGTGGGGGTCATGTACCTTTTTTAAGAAGTTCTAGAGAAAAAATAGTTCCTTCTTTAAAATGCTGTATCTCAGTTGTTCTTGGGTTTCTACGGTAAAAACAACGGTTAGTGTTCTGGAATCATCAAGACTTCATGTACAATACTGGCACTTTTTGTGCAGAATTTTCACAATGGTTACTGGACATCAGTTATGGAAAGTTTGGAATGTCTAGAGCTGATGGTTCGAGCTCAGCACATTTTGGGAGCAAACTACTCAGAAAACTGCTGAAAAACATGGCAAAAAGCTGAAAACAAAAATAACTGCCAAACGGTACCTTAGCGACTGGACCCGACCAGGCAAAATTGTTGGGAATTCAATTGTGCATCTGTACAAGAGATTTGGAAGTGTTGGAACATTAGAGATATTTGCTATCAAACTTTGAAATTTGCAGTTAAATGTGGTTAGTTGTACAGATATATTTCCTCTTTTTGGCAGGCATCTGTCAATTTTGGCAGAAAAATGGGAGCGACTACAATGGTAAGAGTTTACCTATTTTATTTAGCAGTTGAGTGGAAGTTATAGACAAATGACCCCTGAATACACAAGGCAATGAATAATAAACTACAGTCGTGGGACATAAGAACTAGTCAGTTGACAAAAAACTTATGCTTGTCGCGATAATTCGAGGGAGATATTCCAGCGGCGCGTTCGCTAAGTTGGCAACCAGTCAATGTCAGACACTGCTGAAGGCTGACTGGGGACATGACTACTGTCATTTGTTGTCTGCTTCTGTTTACATCTGCCCATATCGGTCATTTTCATGATAGGGTGAAAAAGTGCGGAACTGAGCTGACTCCGTCAAAAAATGATAATCCAAGCATCCAATGAAGAGGGAAATACATCTGAGTTAGCAAGGACACTGAATATTCCCAGGACAACAGTCAACAGTGTTTTGAAAGAGTTCCCTGCCACCGGATCTGTTGAAGATTGTCATCAATGTGGGCAGAGGAAACTGTTCGGGGAACAAGAGAATTCTGCACTTTCGTGATTGGTGAAACATAACAGAAGGCAATCTTTAGCAAAATTCAATTCTTTAGCAAAAACACATTCTGTGAAAAAACAATTCGAAGAAAATTATCTCAACGGGGATTTAAAATATGAGCTGCAAAGGACGAGGATGGTCGTTCGAGAGGGGAATAAGAAAAAACGTGTTCAGTGGTGCAGGGAGAGAAAGGATTTGACTGTCAATGAAAAATGGAATGAAAAATTTATCTGTTCTACTGAAGGCCAGATAGTGATTGGGACGAATAACCGTGTCTACTTGTGGCAAAAGGACGGTGAAACGGACAGCCCCCACCTTATTTGCCCATCCTCAAAATGACATCTATTTTTAATGATATGTTGCATGTGTATTCATGGTATGGGCACCCTAGTTGTTGTGGAAGGAAACATTAATGCTCAAAGGTACATGGCTATAGTAGATGACAACTTGTGGACGGTTATTGCTAGGCATTTTCCACAGGGAGATTATGTCTTCCAGGATGACAATGCCCCGGTACATCGAGCCTGCTTGGTAACTACCTAAATGTTGGATAACGATGTAAAAACCACAGATTGGTCAGCACAGTCTCAGGATATCAACACAATTGAAAATATCTGGTTCACGCAGTCTAAGTAAACTTAGACTAGTAAACTTAGACTCAATATTATTCGTTTCACTACTATACTGAGTCTTACAAAACCTAGTAGAAGGTTGCGTCAGCTGACCTTTGAGTGACCTATGACCGTCCAATCAAACGCGAGATGGACAAACGGATTTAACCAATCAGACAACCAATTTGTTAGGGTTTGGCGGGACTTACAAACTGGTTTTTGGATTTTCTCTTCCCTGCTCGCTGACACTGATCTATCAACAAACGAAAATCCGCATAAAACACAGATATTTGACCTGCTGTACATACCGCTTATGGATTTCTAATGACATGGTTACTATTTGCTTATATTTTCGCAAGATGACATCGTCGAATTTTCACAAAAACACTATTTTCAGCGACTGTTTACTCATTGCGTGTATCACTTGGAAGCGATCGTGCGGAAAATAGCATTCGGAATCGTTCGAGTTTTTTAGGTAAAGGTTCAAACTGTATGTGCGAATGTTAACTTTCGCGATTTGGTAAGCTGTGTTCTGATTGGTCAGTCCAAAAGGTTAGCTGACATGACCATTAACTAAGTTTTGTTAGACTCAGTATAGCAGTGTAACGAATAATACTGAGCCTAAGTTTACTTAGACTGCTGGTTCACAATAAAGCGAGACACCCAGCCCATCACTCACAGGATTTTAAACTGTGATGAACTTTTCAGTGAAATACTATGTCTCTGGCAAAACGTTGATATTGAGACAGTTCATGGACTGTAACTTCCGGCTAGGATTTGTGAAGTAATCAGAGTGAAGGGTCATCTGACAAAATATTAAGGTATGTCATTCATTTTTTTTGAGAAAACGCCTCTTTTGTGAAACGCATAAAATGTAAACAAACGTCCGCCATGTTGAAAGTGACAAATACTTATGTATGTCCCACGACTGTAGCTACAAAACCAGCACCAGAGACATTGGAATTAAAAGCAATAAACCTTCCGGTAAAGTGTGCGAGTGCTTCTCCCTTTGGGTCAAAAGATTGTTTTGATATTCAGTTGGAAAGTTTATCTTCATTAGAACATTCAAAGACGTGTGTGGAATCCTTCAACCTGCCACTTTGAGACTTAGCCCAAATCTATCTGAAGTGTGATCAAACAAACATGGTTGACAGGCCTACTGGCTGCTGAACAGTTATCGCCAATACATCAGTATTACGTGTGCGCAGTTCTGGTCAATTACAATTCCAGTATTTTTCCCCACGGTATTTGACATCAATAAAGGACAGCAAAAGAAAATTCTTTACGGTAAGTATCATAAGATAAAAATAAAAGATCAAGTTATGAACCCGACAAATATTTTTAACTTAGTCTGGGGGATGTCACACAATCTATATAATAGCAAGTTCAAGTTCACATAAGTCATTAATTGTTTCATTCCCTATCAATCTACCGTAAAAAACATTCAACAAAAAACAAAGAACACAATCAATTATTCGAAGTTATTTAATGATATATATTATTTCATGAATGACACGAGAAATTCTGAAAAGGCGATAACTGTTACAGTTCATTTGTGAGAAAACATCTATTTGTACTGCCGCGATTCCCTTCCGCCGGGCGTGATGTTCCGGTATTTCAAGCACGTCGTTTTGAGCGAGTTGGAAACATATCGCACTAAAACTTAGCATGCAAATGCAGCCCATGCTATTTTTAGACATGTGCTAGGCTGAAGTGATTTTTGTCGTCTGCTTTCGACGTCAGATCGAAGTAGACACAATGGGTCGTAAGGGTAAAGATCTGTCGACATCTGTGAAAACAAGCATTGTATCGCTAACTGAGAGTGGATATAAAACAGTCAGACATTTGTAAAATATTGGATTTGTCCAAGAGCACAATCAGTAAGTTTTTGAAACGTTATCGCGACAGGGAAAATATAAATAACTCTGCTCGAAGCGGAAAACCGAAAGTCATTGGGATTCGTGGCCAGACAACAATATCAAGGATTGTTAAGAAAGGAAGGCGTAAAGGTTTGTCTGACATTACCTGTTAATATAATACTTCAGTGCCTGTACCTGCTTCAACTAGATCCATTCAGCGTGAATTACACCATTTGGGCTATGATCGGAGGATTGTTTGTAAGAAGCTAGGAATTTGTGAGGTAAATCTGAAAAAGCGTCTCCAATACTGTAGAGGAAAATTACACTGGAATGTTGATCACCACTGGCGAAAAGTAATATTCTGTGATGAAATGACAATACTTATCAAGCCAGATGGAAAAATCAAAGTCTGGAGTTAAAAGTCTGAAAGGTGACTTGGCCAGTGACTCGGTTACTTAGCTGACAAACCTGGTCGCACTTTAAAGTTAATGATGTAGGGCTGCAAAATTTACTGTGAGACCGGTGTTTTAGAGTTTGTGGAAGGCAACATGAACGGTCAGAAGTATATTGACGGACTTGACAGGTGTTTGTGGCCAGTGATAACCAAACACTTCACCAATAAACAATGGATGTTCATGGATGACAATGCCACAATTCACTGCTCTGCTGCTACAGAAGCCATTTTTTTTGCCTCCACAAAGTCCAGATTTAAATCCAACTGAAAATGTGGGAGTACTGCACTTTACCGGGCGCACTTTTTCCCCGATTAATTAGCGCTGCTGGGGTTCCCTAGCCCTAACCCGAACCCCTAACCCAAAGGATCGTAAAGAGTGCCTAACCCTAAACCGTACTGGCTAGATCTAGTGAACAGTTATCGCCAGATTTTAGCGGTATTTACAATATTACTCCGCCGTTCGTTAAATTAATGAAACAGAATTAATTATGATACTTAATTAGCTATTCACCGATTAATTAAGAATCATAATTAATTTTGTTTCATTAATTTAAGGAACGGCGGAGTAATTTCGTAAATATCGCCAAAATATGGCGTCATTGGCGATAAGTTCGTAACTGTTCGGAAGCCAGTAGACTATCTTTTTCCGTCCTCGAATAAATCATTTACTGAGTCTGCCTCGATATAAAGCAATATCCCGCGTAAATCAATAGCATTTTTCAGTAATAACACGAACGTGACGATACAACCACATACCGTTAATGCATTTCTTTGCACAATAATGTCTGTATATGATAAATGACAAGCTCGCTTTGCACATCAACTTCTTTGAGTGTGCAGAATTATCTCCCGTTGACAACAATCGCGCGGTTGCGGTACGGTGTCAAAACGGCACTAGGCTGAATGGCTGCAAGGAATTATCTGTGCACGATTCACTTCTGAAAGTGTGGACGCATAGATCGGGATTCTGTATCTATATTATATGGGTTCCGAAGTTAAACGTTTTTGTCCACATGTTTTTTGAACATTTAGTTGTATTGAACATCTGTAGTCTTGTGGACACGACATTAGTGGTTCAATCCTCGGCCGAGTCATACAGACAATTAAATTTGGTATATCTTCCTCAAGTGGCATTTAGAAGCTGGTATGATGAAGAGGAACACTTTTATGGATAGACAATTTCTTTAGTGCAGTAGACGCGACGTTTCAGTGTAATGATCTACACCGAAACGCCGCACCCACTGCAATAAACAAGTTGTCTATCCATAAAAGTGTTCCTCTTCCTCTTCAGACCGCCTCCGTGGTGTAGTGGTTAGAGCGTCCGCCCGGAGATCGGAAGGTCGCTGGTTCGATCCCCGACCGCGTCATACCAAAAGACGTTAAAATATGGTACTTGTTGGTCCCTGCCTGGCGCTCGGCATTAATGGGTACAACAAGGACTGGTCGGCTCGGAGTCAGTATAATGTGTCTGAGTGGGGTATTCATGCTTCACTGCGGCATGGTATCTCAGTGGGCTAGCACTATAAAACCAGCTTAAGTCTGGGCTAATACAAGCAGCCGCACATACACATACACACGCATGCACGTCGTCATGTTCCCAGCGAAATATTTTCAATAACACGACGTTAACCCGCCAACACCTCACCTCATCACATCCTCTTCAAAATTGGTATTATCTATAGTTGTTTCCCTGACGTGTTTAGACATCAACAGGGTACAAACAAGTACTGTTCGGCTTGGAGTCGTATACCGCTGCTCGGTTAGTCATTCTTACACTTACGTATCATGGTATTTCAATGACGGCTCACAGCTGTTAATACAATGGTGTGCGATGTTTGTATGTATTACATCCAACTGGAATTTCCGGGAATCAAATACCATTTGATCACGTTTTCAATTCAGATTAAAGAACACAGTGACTTTTGGTTTACAATTTGTATTTAAAGGTATTTGACGCTTAACCATGTCCATCGTGACTGTTTGTGTGGATCAGTTATGGGGACATTTTTGCACTGAAAAGTTAATCCATTTGCATAGAAACCTTTGCTTGGGTTAAAATCTTACACGCTATTATTTTTCAGTTTATTTCTCACAGTGTATTACGTACTATATATACTGTGTAGATATACATAATATGTCAGTGAAAGAAACTTGAAAGTGATGTAAAAAGCCATTTCACCTCACCTCTTTTCACCTCACCGCTCCCGTATGAGGGGTGGTCCGGGTTCTATTCCCCACATGCGTGAAGCAGATTTCTGGTATTCCCTTGCCTTGATATTGCTGGAATATTGCTAAAAGCGGAGTAAAACACGACATGCTTGTGGACACTCTCCCTTTCGCCCAGACTGACTGACTGAGTTTGGTTTTACGCCGCTTTTAGCAATGTTCCAGCAATATCACGGCGGGGGACACCAGAAATGGGCTTCACTCATTGTACCCATGTGGGGATTCGAACCCGGGTCTTCGGCGTGTCGAGCCAACGCTTTAACCACTAGGCTACCCCACCGCCCCCTTTCGCCCAGACACGCGATACTAATCAAAACAGTGTAAGATGCATAATCATAGATCTGGACTAACATATGATAGCCAGAGCCACAACAAAACCAACTGGATAATCCTCATTCAAACTGCATTCTTCTGTTTGGGTTCATTGTACGAGTTATTACGAATGTAACAAATTTTGAGCCCTTAGATAGCAACCGATTGCTTCTAAAATATGGCATTAAAACGTACGCAGAAACCTTTTAGCAGAACTGTCTTTAAGCTGTTCATAAGTGAAGATCATCTATCATCAGTGTAAAAGAAAGTTGGTTCGTGCTATGCTCACCTCCAACCAGAGTACTATGAAATATTATTATACACGTTTTCATCGCGTAACTAACGATTGCACCTTTTGTATTGTAGAAAATGAATGAAACTTAATTGAAACAATCATTGTGAAATGAGAAAAATATATGGATAAATTCCAAGGACATTTACAGACCATCAAATCCTTATATTTTATATACATTTAAGCAGGGATTATCTACGTTTTCTATTCACCATACTTCTCATCACTCTCTTCAGTATCCTTTCACGTTACCTATTTTCACTTCTGGTCACATCGCCCGGTGTTAAAAATACAAATTAGACAAATGTGATAAAAAATGAAAGACCAGCTGTGCTAAAATGTTTCCAGCCAAAGTGAAATTTCATGCTGACGTTTTGCAAGTGAAACGGGCACTTTTGCCATAAATGTAATGCAATGTTGGTCATGTTGGAATGGTGCTGTCTTAGGACTTACACCGTCTGGGGTTGTACTAAAAGGCTCATTGTCAATTGAAACGAAAAGAAATACAGGGCATATGGACTGATAATTGCCTTAAAGAAGTGTATGAATAACATATGTCTTGCACTGAGTTTTTCGGTAGACTGAAAAGCAAGGCATAACCATGTATATGTACATTGCAATGACCAGTTATGAGAAGTCATCACAGCCTTGTGTGGTATGTGTATAATTGCAAGCTCCATTCCAGTGCGTGCCACCTTTGTTACTTCAGACTGGTACTCTGCCACTCGCTTCTGTACGGTTTCACAGAAGACGCGCAGAGAGGAGCGCAAGCGCAAGCGCGATAAGGGCAGACAAATCAGTCTATCGTTACAGCAATCGCTGTGGAGAGCTTGTCGAAACGACTAACAAGAGCAAATAACTCTATTATGTTGACATGATCAAACTTGCAACTGTACCGCGGTATGTTTGAAACAAAACACATTTGTACCGACAAGATGACCCGATCTCTTCATTGAATAACAATAACTGGATTGATGGATCAAAGCTGACAATGGCAGATAAAGAAAAAGACCAGCGTGTTATGCAGCTCGCTGACATTGTTGCTGATACAAACGAGCGAAAACTACCACTGACCTTGTTGAAGCTGAAAGGTTTGTTCATTTTTCTCAGTGAAGATCATTACTATCTACAATCTTCATTCCATGAATGCACTGTGATAGTGATGGCTAGAGTTTCGCTGCTCGCTGCTGGGCAATTATCGCGCTATAGTGCTACCGCGCTGTCTCCAGCGCTGTCGCGCTATATCGCGGTAATGTGCTTCGTCTCCATTCACTGGCCAGTCAACTATCCTTAGGGTTCCCATTGTAAGACCCTCAGCAACTAAAACAACAGAGCAGATTTATGTCATCCAATTTTATTATGGCGGGCTCCAGACACACGTGTCATACAAACTACAACCACTATTGCGCAACGGATATAATATCCTGAGTACATCAGATTCTCACACCATTTCTATTATAAAATGTTTCTGACTTTTCACAAAGGATTCAACAGGAAAATTAACTGTCAACTTTTAAATGAATAAATCACAAGGAAATTGTAAAATAACTCTTATTCTTTTCACCAAGATAATACTCCAACAGATGACAATATCAAATCCAGGCATTTGGTGATAATACATTATGTCACCCAATGTTATTTTGAAATATTGGAAAATCTTATTCATTTGTTACAAAATCACTAATGTTTGATTACGTCATGCATGAAGAACAGTTATTTCTGATATACATATTCATAGGAATACCATGTTTATACATGACCCATAGTCACATAAAATATGTAAACAATACTGTTGCTTTGATCAAAATTACAAAAATGACTTGACAATAATTCCTATAGAATACCAGTTACATGTGTTTTACCAATTTGCAAGTGAACATACATTGAGATAATACATAGTCACAACATTACCCGTAACTCCCTTCTCGATGGGTAAAATCAACTTCCACTATATAAACAGATTAGAGTTACTTCCCCTATGGCGGGGGCATACCAGTCCTTGACGTGACCCACGAAAATGGGAGACACTCAAACTTCAATCAAAGTTGGCGGCTATTTACTATTATGGGTTTTCCTACAATAACATATGTCTAAAATAATTGTTTTGACTATTTAAATAAGTAAAACACATATTGAAGTACTGAAATCAATAATAATTGAATCAAAATCGAGTGTAAAAGCGTTACTCAACAACTTGACCTTCACAAAATCCACGAAATGTTTCACCTCGACATTGATAATTTACCAAAAACATCATATAAACAGCATTTCAAGTCCCTAAATGAGTATTTTCCAGTACCGGTAATGTTACAAATATGTAGTTGTGTACAGAAGCCTTAGGGAGCTGACGCATCTTTAGAGGTCCAACAACCCTTTCCGATCCTTAGCGTTTTGTACCCTTTCCGATCCATAGGGTTGGGTTGGGAGTGTGGTAGGGTTTGGGAACCTTTCTGATTCCTTAGGGTTAGGGACGATTTCCGATCCTTATTTAGGGTTAGACCTTACCTTAGAGCAGTGTAATCCTATTATATCCAATTGAAACACATTTACCGGTACTCGTCAGTACATTCCAAGAAATAATGGCACAAAAAAAATGAATGGGAAGGGCATGGCACAGTGAGGAGGAAGAACGAGAAATGTAAACAAACCATTTTGTTTTCATTTCTTACGCTTCCACCTCACTTCTGTGCAAATAACCTGTTAAACAAGCTCTCATTAACTTTGATGGTGCTCATGGTCCTGAGGTAGAGCGTCCGCTAATTATGTCACAAATTAGCCTTAGTCAGTAATCCGGCGAAACGCATTCAAGCCCCAGCAGCGCTAATTAATCTGAAAAAGTGCGCCCTGTAAAGTGCACTACTCCCATTGTGATTTGTCTTTAAACAAGTGACTGCCTTTCAAGGATGCAGATCATCAGATTTCATTCCGCTAGCATGGTGCTTGTTTTTCGGAAACATGTTACCTCTTTAGGTCATATAAATGTACATAATTTTATCCTCTGTTACATGCATAGAGTATTAGCAAAACTTTTATTGTTGTGTAAATGAATTTTATATATAAATGCCAACATTAAATTTTATGATGATAGAATACATTATGATCCTGAAGTGTGCGAAATACTTGTTCTAAATTTTGATAGCCAGTCAGACTAGCTATGCCTGAAAGTTACTAGCCCGCAAAATAATTCGCTAGCCTGAAATTAGAATGTAGAAACAAAGCAAAAGATTACAAAAATAGATGAGAATAAGATATTGTAGGCATGACACACGTTCCATCATTAAGCTGCTAATATGATGAACAATTTTATCAGGCCATAATCTTGCATGATTTAAAAGTGTATTATAACTTATCAAGTCAGAGAGTGATATATTTACAAATTGACCCCATGGAAATTCACTAGTCAGTCGGACCAGTGACTTGATATTTACTGGCCCGACTGGATTTTTACTAGCCACAGGCTAGGTGGTTATTTTGCACACTGATCCTGAAGACATGAAAATATTAATATGCTTAAAATTCTAGAGGAAATACGCTCTTAGCTTACCACACATTTCATTTATCATTTATAAGAGTTAAGTGACAAAAATCACAGAATGATATATATTGTATATGTACTGATTTCAAATAACCATTTTTGAGTTCCTAGTGGCAGTACTGTTCAAATAGTATCCATGCATACTGAGGTACGGCAAATTGATTTTCTTACCTTAACCATCTTCACAATCAATGTTTACTGAGAGCAGCAAACTGCAACAATTCCATGTATAGTAGACTTAATCAGAGGTGAATAAAACATGTACTTGTCACTTCAGTATGTGAGCCAGAGTGAAAAATTAGGGGCATGTAGCAATCAAAAGTAAAGAAATATTGACAAACCAATTTGCATGTCTCAGAGTTTGACATGTCTTTTCATATTACTGTACATGCAAAATGAGTTGTTTAGCCTAATGTTTCCAATAGATTGTTTGTGTCTTGATAGTTTTTCCAAGCATGCTACATTGTATTGCCTGATAACGTTCGTAATATAATATTATAGCTAAAATACATGGAATTATCATGAAACGTCCCTCATATTATCAGAAATTTGCGGGCCGCTGCAAATGATATTGGACCACTGCAAATGATATTGGACTGTTCAGCCTTAAAGATGGGCCACTATCAGTTCTGTTGTCAAGTGACATCATAGTTGGTTTACGGTTCATTCGACTTTGAGTAAATTCTTAAACAAGTCAAATTCCTTTTAGCATAATGTTTCTTGCTTTTTAACTTTTCAAAAAAACAATGAAAACTCCATGTATTTTCTTGCCAAAGGCAATTGAATATCGTCACGTTCTGTTGTGGCGTCACTTGAATTGTTCGATGGCGTAATTGCATTCGGTCAGTCAACCCCATCAGAAGTTGGTTTTGAGTAAACTTCCAGTCAAATTCCTTCATTGTCAAAACAATTTGTATCTTAGCAATAATGCCCTATTTATGGGTTATCTTTGCAGAAACCCCAGTCTTTTCAACTAGGAAAAATGGAAGACCTAGGGCTTCTGCAAATGATAATAACCTTAAAAAGTAGCATTACCCTTTTAACAGAAACCTGAAGTTATCATGGTTATTTCATCAAATTACAGTTTTTCAAAGAAGAAGAAGTTTTTGCTTCTGCTGCAAAGTTGTGGACACTAATAAACTGCTGTTTCAGATATTTTGGACAGTTCAGAGGCGGGTGAGGTTGACTTTGTGCGACTGCGGCGAGAGGTATGGGAGTACAACCTGCTGCAGGTGCTCATCCTCGTCCTCAGACAGGACTTCAGCATCATTCCAGGGGAGTGGAGAACCGCTGTCAGGCTGGTAGACCTGCTCAGGTAATCTAATTCAAAACTCATTTAACCAACTTACTAAAATTTCACATTAATCATAGAGCCTTTCCCTAGCTCTTTGCCTTTAAGCATGTTAAGTGACCTATAATTGTTGAAAACTTATTACCACATTCTGTTTATGAAAGACCTTTAGCCCATAACTACCACATGACTTACTTGTAAGTTGTATAACAGTCTGTATGTAATTTTCACCTGTGAAGATCCGGGTTAGAATTCATCTTCAGTAACCCATGCTTGTCGTAAGAGGTGACTAACGGGATCGGGAGGTCAGGCTCGCTGACTTGGTTGACACATGTCATCGTATCCCAATTGCGTAGATCGATGCTCATTGCTGTTGATCACTGGATTGGTCTGGTTCAGACTCGATTATTTACAGACCGCCACCATATAGCTGGAATATTGTTTAGTGCGGCTCAAAACTAAACTCACTCACTATCACTTTTCTAGCCTGGGCGATTTACAGACAGCCACATATATAGAGAATACTACCGATTTAGGTCTCATTACATACACGAATTATGCACGAAGCGAAGTGTCCTTCCTATGGTATCTGACCGAGCGGCGCAGGTCAGATAACATAGGAAGGTCACGAAGTTCAGTATAATTCGTATGTAATGAGACCGAAAGTGTGGTATTTTATTTATTACCCACGTCTTACATGCATTTAAATTGACAAAATAGCGTTATTTTTGTTATGTTTTTGGTTTCAAACCGAAACGGTTTCATAAAGAGGTTCGCGGAAGAGTTTTGTAATGTAGTACAATATTTGCATGACGTCACACTAATGGCGTCACTGCCATATTAACCGACGCCACGATGCATGTCAGTTGTCATCGCCTCATTACAGCCTCCTACAGTAAACTACTCCATTGCACCTCGCTTCTTGGTTTCCAGTTGCTTCATTCGCTAACATCACTGGTGGAAACATTGCGTTTACGTTTTTCGACAGATATAATGTCTCAGTTCGACTCACAATTAATTAAACAGCGACACGGCAACGTTAGCAATGTTTACATTCCCACAATGCATTTAAGTTGTAGAATGAATGAATTCACGTGTTTGTTATGAATGAAAAAATAGTGACGTCAGAATGTGACCTAATTGAGAGGTCATCGGTTATCCAATCAAATCGTTAGAATTTCAGGTCAAGTTGTTACGACACAGGTCAACGCGATACGACACTCGTGTGACGTCCGAGATTAATATGCAACTACCCATACGTTGACCATGTGGGTAATAAAGAGTAGTACAGACTATGGTGGTAAACAATGTTCACTCTCTCCATGATATGTGTGTTTCCAGTCAGGCAAGTTCCGGTCTGAACCTCCCTCGCCAAGAAATGCGGCAGTTTCAGGAGCATCATCTACCTCGAGCACTTGATTACATTTTCCTGCTGACTCGACGAATACAGGCCCAGATTACAGCAATCAACGAGGATGATGTAGGCCAGCAATATTTCTACAGTAGTATGATTGTTGTGTGGGGAGACTATTCCTAAGGAAGAGAGTTTTTATGGATATCACCTTCTTTATTATGAGGGACACAACATAAAGAAGTTGACATCTATAAAAACTCTTTCTTATGTGTATCCCTTCTAAATGCCATTCAAAAACCTATTTTTGTTTGCTTTTTCGTACAGATCATAATGTAGTTCTTTCTTATGCCTGCTTTACAATAGTGTGGGTCATCCCAAAGAAAAGTAGGAGTGCACCGGTAACCAATATTGTGTAATATGTTTTTCAAACTCTACGTACAGTAGAACTTGGATGTGGCTAACTACAATTCAGTTTGTTATATGCATTGTTCTCTATATACCCTGAAATATTTTTCATATGGAAACTTATGCCATCTTGGATTAAAGAAAACAAAGTAAATGCAATGCTGACTTTAATGTTTTATGTTCAGTGTTATTTTACAGACAAACTTTGTCTGACTAATTGATTTCTAATTTATATCTACATGTTACAAATCATGCATTAAGTGGTTTCGGACATTGTTGGGCTTTCAAATATCACTTTGTTTTTTATATTAAGTCTCAGTAGAGAGTTTGTTGTGTACACACATTTTACATGATAACATATAGGAGATAAATCTGGGATTTTGTAACACCTTGTACATCCATTCGCTCACTGTATCTAAGTTTGTTCTCGTCATGTTCTACTGTATTGTAATATCTTTTCTGTGTTCAGGTATGTTGGGTATAAAAAGTACAAGTCTTCTCAATAATTGTTTTGTTTACCGGTAACCTAAAATCAAACAGAAATTCAAAGCAATACAATATTTTTGCCAATACACAGTCCTAAAGAATAATTTAGATTAATGGATGATATAAATCTTTACACTTTCTCCATTCTTTAGTTTAATATAATATGGTTGATGTGGAACTGTGTTTAAGGTGGCACATCCAGAGAGACAGAAGATGGAGTTCATTGGTTACATTAAGGCTATAATGGAATCGGTGGTGTACCTTGCCAGTGGTTATGTCACGTTAGTTGCTGAGAGTAAGTTATTGAAGTTTTCTGTCTCACATAAAGCCATACTTCATCATTGGGATGTGATGCTGTATTTGCTGTATTAAGTGCACCTATCCTATAAGCATGCCTTTCCATAAGTAACCTTTCTACAAGTTTTATCCACCTGTACAGGGTTTGATAATGAGAGTTCATACATTAACTTCAAAATAGAAGTATAGAAGGTGAATATAACTTGTATCCATTATCAAAAAGTTGTGTTTTCGTTGTCAATTCTCCACTACTTGAGCTGACAACAACTTGTGATTATTTTAATGAGCACCCCTTTCGTCAATTTTCAGAGTCATTGGAGCACTTATTATGCCAAATATGGTTAATCTGACTTGGGTGACTGTAGTACCTCGACATGGTTTTGTCAGCAATATTCCAGCTATATGGCAGCAGTCTGTAAATAATCAAGTCTGGACCAGACATTTCAGTGATTAACATCACAAGTATCGATCTATGCAATTTTGATAAGATGACATGAGTCAAAAGGGTCAACGACCACCCGATCGCATTAGTCACCTCTTATGACAAGCATAGGTTACTGAACACCAATTCTAACCCTGAATCTTCACGGGTACCGATTCGGGTATCATTGTATAGTTTGGCTTTATATATAACCTTTACAGTGTGCCATAATATATTTTGTATATGTAATCTTATCATTGATTAACATGTTGATGATCATTAATGACAGAATGAGATCATAAGAAGATTCACTAGGTTATAACCATGGAAACGTTTTGTCAGTTTTGAAGTCTCCGTGGCTGCTTCAGCTGCTGATAACAGATGAGCCAGACACAGTGGTAGCAGTCATCACCATGATGGACAAGGTTATCAGGGTATATGGGTAAGTTCTGTTGGAAAGAGGATCATTCTGTTTGCTAGTCTATTATGTTTTATAGTCCCTTTGACTTCATTTGAGACCAATGTATTGCTCACTAACACAAAATCTAATACATGCAACAAAATCACACTTTGCACAGTCACATGAAATCGACAGACCAACTCTGATGATTTGTCTCATAATTTTGGACACCCGAATAACACATTTGTTTAACAAACGATCATTATTTTGTTGTCATTTTTCGCTATTTCTTACGAGGGAGGACCACTTGCTGGTAGAACAGCCAGGTAACCAACAAGCTTGTGCAGTGAAATTTCAATTTCACACGTACAACTCGCACACAAATAATGTCCTGTACAGATGATGTCTTGTACTAATGGTATGATGTATTCATATGGTGTCCTGTACAGATGATGTCTTGTACTAATGGTATGATGTACAGATCGTTTGATGTACATATGGTGTCCTGTACAAATAATGTCCTGTACAGATGATGTCCTGTACTAATGGTATGATGTATTCATATGGTGTCCTGTACAGATGGTGTCCTTTACAGATGATGTCCTGTACAAATGGTGTTCTGTACAGAGGGTGTTCGGTGCAGATTGTAAGCTGTACAAATAATGTCCTGTACAGATGATGGGCTGTGCAGAGTGTGTCCTGTTTATATGATGTCCTGTACAGATGTCCTGTACAGAGGGTGTCCTGTTTATATGAAGTCCTGTACAAATGGTGTTCTGTACAGAGGGTGTTCAGTGCAGATTTTATCCTGTACAAATAATGTCCTGTACAGATGATGGGCTGTGCAGAGTGTGTCCTGTACAGAGGGTGTCTTGTACAGAGGGTGTCTTGTACAGAGAGTGTGATGTACAGAGGGTTTCCTATACAGATGATATGCTGTGCATTGGGTGTCCTTTACTTAAGATATGCTGTATAGGTGACATGCTGTGCCGAGGGTATTCTGTACAATTGGTCTCCTGTAGGATGTTGCGCTGCCACATCCCAAAGATTCCTGTATAGAATTGAACAATGTCTTGTTGTTTTATGGAGTATGTACCAAGTTGTTTATATCATTTCAGTGTTGCTTTGTCCCAAATTGACCAGAAGATTGTCTACAGCATCTTGGATGAACTGATTTACAAGATCTCAGTAAACAACAATGTGGCTGTTGGAGCGTAAGTAACTGCTGCTGTAATGGACATAACTAACCTTATACTTGCCAAAAATGATCACTCCTGTCCAGTTTGAGATTTAAATACTCAAAGATCATTAAGAATGTTTTTCATTCTAAAGATATTTTTCATATTAAGTTATTGTACAGTAAAGTCCTGAACACATGTCCTTTCTATAATTTGTGAATGTGAACAGTCGGTTATCTGAAAACCATTGTTTCCAGAAATTGTTTATCTAAAGATCACTGAAACTGCATTTATATGTCCGTGTTAGTATTTTCATACCCACATTTCGGGAAGGCCTCCGAACTATTTTGAGTCGAATTTTAGAGTTGGTATGATGTATAAGGACACTTTCTTGTGGGCAAGAGCTTTGTAAAACAGAAGTTGTTTCTTGTAGGTCAGTGATCTTGATCTTATGGCAATTTTTATAGTAACACTATAGTAGTAAGTAACACTAACCTGAATTGACATTCACGCTCACATGATTGCAGTATTCCAGTCTTGCTGGGGCTTTTCTTTCAATTTTTCATTATTTAAGCAACTTCCAGTTACAGACATATTTTCAGCCATAGCTTTGAAATTCATCGTATTCTCCAGAATTAATTCAGCTCCATGTTCAAATTATGTTATCAGAATGGAGAGTATATGACTTGATGTCTCGGTTTAGAAAGTGTTTTGTGTGAACTGATGTTGCTGTTTTCAGGGCAGCTACTAAGTGTATCCTGAAGATCTGTGATGCATTCCGACTGATAGTGGATGTCCTGTGTACCAGATACAAGTGAGTACCGATCAGCTTCTAAGTCATGTACCGATAACATAGGCAGCATTCGATATGATAGGAGACTTGATGTGTTCAGTGTATTGTTTCAAAACCCTCAGGAATAACAGTACAGATGCAGTTTCTCTCGTTCGTTCGTGAACTCATTCATTATTTGGTGAGTGAGTGAGTGAGTTGTATGCCGCTTTTAGCAATGTTCCAGCAATATCACAGTGGGGAACACCAAAAATGGGCTTCACACATTATACCCATGTGGGAATTCTAACCTGTGCTTTTGACATGACAAGCGAACACTTTAACCACAAAGCAACCCCAACGACCCAATAATTGCTGAGGATGAAATTATAGATATTGAAAATGTTAAGTAATTAATCAATTTGTGAAAATTTTATAATAAAAAAAAAAACACTTTATGCTGTAACCGCTTTCAGTATGCTTCAATGTACAATGTAACCAAGTATATAATAAATAGATCATTTGTCCTCATGAAAAACATGTCAAACAAATGTGCATTTCTTTCATTCCAACATTAGGTCAGTCTTGACAGTGTGTTGTCTCCTCATTTCAGAGGTTTACGCCCGTTACTGGGGAAGTGGCACGGCAAGGGGTTCGCTAGAGAACTGAAACAGCTGCTGGTTCTCCTGGACACTGGAAGTGCTAAAAAGGCAGAGATGGAGGTGTGTTTGTGTGTGACCTTGGTGATGTAGTCCACTATGAGAGTAAGAGATACATGTATCTGGTCTGAGTCCACTATCTGGTCTGAGAGTAAGATATCTTGAGATTATTTTAGTCATTGATCTGATCTGGTCTGCACTGTTGGGTTTAGATCTTCTCCTTAATTTTCAGTGGTTATCCAGCAGAGTCAGCTTCAGATAAAACCTGGCCATGCATCCATCTATTTAAGATTCTTGTTCCATGTTTCAGAAATACCACCTAGCTGCCATCTATCTGCAAGCATGTTGGAAGGGATGTATAACAAGGATCAAACTTAGGAGGGCAAATGCAGCTTTCAAGAAATTTCAGAGAACATACAGGTCAGTTTAATGTAGAATATCCTGTGTTTATTTTGAGGCAGAAGATGGGCAAATCCAGGAGTTTTTGGGTGTACATTAATCATGATGTCCAAAGGTTAAGGGGAAATGCTCCTCAGGGAAATGTTTTCAGTGTGCGTGCACAGCCCTGCAAACTCCCCCTTGGCTCCGCCCCAGAAATAGCCCCAAATGCTGGTTGTAAGAGTTGACTAAATGGGGATTGGATGTTGACAATGTTGACTTATCTGTTAGTATGTTATAACACCCCTATACTATAAATGAAGATCCAAGGTAGAATTGGTCTTCAGCAACACATTCTTGTGAGATGTGACCAACGGTATTGGGTTGTCAAGCTCACTGACTTGGATGACAAATGTCTTCTTATCCAGGGGTGGAAATAACTTTAAAATTGCTAGTGTACTCTGGTACAGTGGCACATGTAAAATCACTTGCCCTGATAATTTTTCCACTCTACCGGCCGTTTTCTTGTTGATTTTTTAAATACACAACTTAATTGATATTGGAAAGTCAACTCGACACCGGTACAGTGTGATATCCAAATTTGCTTGCCCGACAGAAAAAAACACTGGACTGGGGCATCGGGCAATGGGTTATTTCCACCCCTGTTATCCCAAATGTATAGACATCAATCACTAGATTGTTTTATTCCAGGTTTCAATTTTACAGACCGCCTTCACATAACTGCCAATTGTGGACTAAATATTTACATACCTCTCAGACATGGATGATTGGTCATGCTATCAACCAATAGCTTGCCATTCAGCTTCCCTTGCATCTTCAGTTTGAAAGAATTGTCAACAGATCTATATATAAAGAAACCCAAACTACCTGATTTGGTGACATGTTCTTGCGAATTGACTCACTTTTGGACAACACACAGATTTTTTCCCCAAATGTGTGCCATGGTATTTTCGCATCTTAAATTCACCCTCTTATCCAGAAAGCAGAACTGATGCATGTGATGCTGAGTCACGGTCCAATGTCTTTCAATGCTTTGATACATTTGGTTGTTTCACTAGACTGAAGAAGGAGAAAGAGGAACGGTTACGAGAACAGACGAAGATAGATGCCGAGTTTTACCACCATCTGAAACTCAACAGACAGCGGATCATGAGAGAGTTCAAGGAGAGACGCCTCCACTTGATAGAAATAATGCCAGCAGGTAACATCTGATGTCATTGGCTGTTGGGTTTGTTGAATGGCATTCTCCAGTTATATAGTCATCAAAAAATACTGCATGATAAGCAATTTTGACATTACACAATAAATACTCACTCACTCACTCACTTCAGTCAATAAATAGTTCTGGGCCAATTATTGATGTCATGATCGTCAATCCAGGCAATATGGATACAATGATATACATTCTCTGAACATTCGATCCATTTAGTTGCCCGCTCGGTTGATGCATGATATTGTATCTCAACTGTGTAGATCACCCCTTGTAGCACTATGCATGATACAATTCTCAATTGTTTTATATCTGTGTCCAGTGCAGGTACCCAGGTTTCTGCAGGGAGAACAGTCTGATGCCGCTGTAAAAATACAAACAATGTGGAGAGGCTACAAAGAGAGGAATCGACTTCCAGGTCGCCAGGAGGTCGCACGACAGGTCAAGGCTGTCATCAAGATACAGAGAGGAGTATGTATGTCAGATCAGTATATCATGGTCACAGAGTTGTGACTGGTACATGATTTGTAATTATTCTAATCAATCGGGGGGTCACTGGCTACTGTCATGTCAAAATAACTTACCGCTGGATTAGCATTTTCAGTTGATATTAATTATACCCCATTCTAGTCTTAAAAATGGCAGTCATTTTGATTTGACGGTTCAACTCCAGAAGAACGTCTCTTATCTTTGATCTGACTGGATTAACTTTTCTGAGGACTCTAGATCCCTAGCAACCTATGCTTGTTGTTCTAGACAACTTGGGGTGGTGGGGTGGCCTAGTGGTTAAAGCGTTCACTCATCACCCCGAAGACCCGGGTTTGATTCCCCACATGGGTACAATGTGTGAAGCTCATTTCTGGTGTCCCCTGCCATGATATTGCTGGAATATTGCTAAAAGTGGCGTAAAACCATACACACTTCACTCCAGGCAACTTAATTGATAGGTAGTCAGACTTGGGGACTTGGTTTATTGTACACCAGCATAGACTGTTGCTCATAATATCAATCACTGGTTTGTCTGTAGACTTGCACAAGTCTCTAAGGTAGTCATTTTTTTTAATAGTTTAAATGGGAATTAAAAAAATATGTATAAATACCAGACTGGCGTCCTTAGAGACTCCGGATTTGTAAGGGGACACCCATTTTGATATTTTTATCAATGCATTGTAAGGTGGAAAGAATTAAACATCAAAGTATGGCATCCCTTACGGCTTTCCTTTCCTTGTACAATATTACATACGTACATTCCAAATTGATGTAAAACCAGTGAGCGCTCACCCGGTATCTTTTATTTTGATGAGAAAAGACACTCATGGTCGTTATTTGGTTGATAATTGTTTGTATCCCACATTCCTGTCCGTGTAGGTACGGAGGTGGATGGACCGGCTGGACAAGAGGCGGGAAGACATCCCCATCTCCCTCAAACCCCCAGGTCTCACTGACGTGAAGAGGTTGGAGCTGCATCAGCAGATTGAGAACTGGAGAGAGAGCAACCCCGTGAGTATTTATGAGGGTCCATTTGTACATTTACTATGTTCAAAGTTTGTTCCAGCTGGGACTCGACATTGGTCCCTGGAGGTATGCTGTGTTTCCAATTAATTCTGATACTGAACTCCCCATCATTTTGGATGGGTATTATCATGAGTATATCCCTGTTTCTGTCTTATGAGTTAGAAGAAACAGTTAAATTCTGGTTACTTAGGTAAGGTTTTAGGGCAACCTTGGATAGGCCTTTTCAGGCCCAAGGTCTAACCACTAACCACCATTAGTGCAACCACTAATCCTGGTGCAGTAAAGTGTGAAGTTATTCTTCCTAGTTGGTTGTTGCTTGGTGAGAGTTATGTCCCTTACAATGAGTGAATCTGTGGCTAAATACAGCTTATGCTTTTCGTAGAGAGTTGAGAAAAATTGCCTGTTATATTGTCTGATGACATACAACTTTTTGGATTCACATGATGATTATTTACACCAATATTAAATTTGAAGCTAAATGCATTCTTATGAGAATGGTAAAGAAATGTCCATCTAATTTAATTGAGGCAGTAATCGCATAGTCAAAGATGATTATTATAAGTGTTTGAGTCATTTAACCGAAACATTGTGTTTAAGACACAGCTGTATGTAGAGTAACAATTCACCAACATACAAGATATCTAAATCATGAATACCTTACAAAATACACTGTAATCTGTATTCACCATTTCCTGTACAAAAGGAACCAGAGGCTGGATGTAGTATTCCTCAGTATTCACCTTACAACTGTGCCAGTGGTCACGTCTCTTGGGTATTATGTGAAGAGCCACTTTTTCTGGATCCAAAATGTTTTTCCCAACCCTGGATCTTCCTCTGTACCAGTACTGTGGTTACTTCTACAGTCATTATAATCTGTTTGCAGTGAAAACGTACCGATAAATGTCATTTTAAACCAAAAAGTAAAACAAATAAAGTTAAATTAAGACTGCGAATCCTCATGATTTTACCTTGCCAATTGAACATTTAAATCTCAGAATTTTATTTGACTTAGGATAAAAGTTTTTTAACAAACGATCATAGTTTCACATGGCTATTATTTGTTTGTATTACAAGGGGGTATGCACATCAAATGAAACACCCGAAAACGACAAGGGTTGTTATAAGTTAATGCTCTTCACTTAACGCACGTGCATTTGTTTCACTGTTCCAACTACTGCGCTTACCCCATTGTAATCCAAACCAGTAATAGCGATTTGAATCTATGATCGTTTGTTAAACAACTTTTATCCTAACATGCCTAGCATGCAGTATTGACACACCCATTAGACTATTCGCCTGTTAAAATTTGTCTTCAGCTACTCATGCTTGTCGTAAGAGGCGACTAACATGATCAGATGGTTTGGATCGCTGACGTGGTTGACATGTGTCATTGTATCCCAAATGCATAGATTGATGCTCATGATCCTGATCACTGGATTGTTTGGTCCAGACACGATTTGTTACAGAGTGAGTGAGTGAGTTAAGTTTTACGCCGCACTCAGCAATATTCCTGCTTTATGGTGGCGGTCTGTAAATAATCAAGTCTGGACCACACAATCCAGTGATCAACAACAGGAGCATCGATCTGCGCAATTGGGAACTGATGACATGTGTCAACCAAGTCAGCGAGCCTGACCACCGATCCCGTTAGTCGCCTCTTATGACAAGCATTATTACTGAAGATCAATATTCTAACCTGAACTTCACAGGTCGATTAGTTACAGAAAAAACACAACAACCATACAAACATTTAACAACATAGATATATGAGGAACTGTGTGTATTCCAGACTCCCAGTAAGACCCCCGAGGAACTGCTGGAGATTCACACCAAGGCTGCTGAGATGCTGCACCATCATTACGCCAGTGTTCGCTCCCAGCGACGTACGCAGCAACAACGAGATGCTCTCATCGCTCGTCTAGACACAGACTCTGAACTCATACTGTGTAAGGGAAATTATGAAATAATTACAATAATTCATAATAATAGTGTTAGGAGCTAGATATTTGTCTCATATAAGTAGGAGATTAATGAAAATATAGAATATATGTAATGCTGGTCTGATTATTTGATAAACGTAAACTTAATATAGTTCATTTTTGAAAAAAGTAAAACTTTAAGACATTATATGTTATAAGTATTATGGTATTATATCTGATGTTATCAACCATTACAGATATATTAGTCATATTCCACTGTACCGAACTTTCTCACATGAATGTTTCATCGCTTCACTGAAAGATGCTCCACAAAATCTGAGTTTTACTCATGTATGCATACAGTGGCACCGGACCTGAAGTCTGTAACACAGAAGGATGTCCACATGTACACCAGCAGATCGGTGCCGGTTGGCGCCAAGGCTCGCTCCAACCATGTTGAGATGATGAAGAAGCTGCAGCTCCCTTGGTGGAAGAGACTGGGCGAGGAAGACGAGGAGGCGGCAGACTTAGAGATGTACCAGGAGGATATCATCTTTTAGTTGAACAACAATAACATTGCCTTTCTTCCATCTTTTCATACATTGCAGGAATTCCAAACAAATTGGTCCAAAATCAATTCTTTGTCTTTAGATATTCCAAGAAGACCAAGATTATGATCATTCATTTGTGATCTTATATGGTAGGGATATCAAAACACCTTGTGTCCATACTTATCTTTGTCTTCAGATATTATTCCAAGAAAATCAACTTCATGATCAATCAAACACTATATATGAACTTCCATAGCAGGAGTTTCAAAACGACTTGGTCCAAAGTCAGATCGTATGTTTTTCTTTAGATATCATTCCAAGAAGATCAACACCATACCAGTCCAAATGCTACATAGGATCTGTGTAGATTGTTGGTTTTATGTTGTTTTGGGCTTTCGTCTAGGGAATATTGTTCATTCTCAACAAAGTTCTACTTTAACTGTGACACTGATAGTATGGAGCTTGACGCTACACAGGGTGTCAATGGTACTGCAAGTGATACCAAGATCTGATGACTATGTATTCAAAGATCTGCCCACATCAGTATCTGTGGTCTTAACATTCTGTAGTAGAAAAGTCATGAGAATGAGCAGATTCTTGTTTTTTCTCTGATTTTGACCATGTTACTGTTGATGTATTAAATCTCGATCATTTTGCACAATGACATGGGTGATTGATCTGCTTTCTGTGTATTCAAACATCTGCCAACATCAGTACATCCACAGGGAGAAATCATTGCAATCAGCAGAATTGAGTTGAAGGTATTTTTGATGTGTAATATCTCTATAATGTTGCATAATTCCTATGGTTTTGTCAATTCAACTTGTTGAAATGCACTTTCCGGTAGCGAGTGATTTTCTGGTTTAGAGTCAACTACAATAACAGCAGCATATCACTGGAATGGTTAAACTGGGATTTTATGTACAGTTACCAGCATGGTTCATGCTTAGCATTTCTCCTCATGTAAAAATCCTATCCCTGAAATACTGGTGAAAGTGAAGTTAAATCCTGAATACTTTCTCCTGTATCCAAGTTGTTAAAGATCCCATCACGCCAAGCCCTGGGTTTCATTCCCTACATCATGCTGTTGATCACTGGATTGTCTGGTCCAGACTTGATTACTATTTACAGACCGCCGCCATATAGCTGGAATATTGTTGTGCAGCATAAAACTAAATTCACTCACTCATTCCCTAGGCCTACATAGATGCAATGTTGTGGAGACCAATTCCTGTTTTTCATGGAATGAGCAGCCTGAAACCATATTCATTCACTCATTCCTATTTCAGCATGAGACCTTTGAGCTGCCATCCAAACTCAATTGTACACTTTAAGGGTCATATCATACAAGTTGTATTGTACATAGAAGTATTTATGTATTATTTTGTATTTATTTACTGTAATAAATCCGTCCATCATTATTTCAAATTTTAAGTGTATTTATCTATGTATTTATCTATTTATTGGATATTCCTTAACTGAGAAGTATATTAAACATATTATTTCTTAACACCTGACATAGTTGCAGAAACTATGGTTATAACGAAATCAAAGCGACCACTTCTTTACGTTCGTTATAACCAAGCTTGTTTTATGCACTTAAATGTTAGGCAAATGGCGGGTAACAAAAACATTTCGTAATAAGCATGTACATTATTGACATAGTTTACGGTATTCATTCTAACATCTACCTTTTCATGACTGGTATATTTCTAATGAGGTATTGGTGACAATAAAGCTTTGGCGTAGTCAGGTGGTTAAAGGGTTCATCGTCAGCAAAAGAAGCGGTTTGATTCCCCACCTCGGTACCACGTGCGAAGCATATTTCTGGTATCCATTGTAAAATTTAAATAAAACTGGCAAACCCATAACCACTATTAATTTTAAGCCCAGTGTCCGTGCATGTAAGATTCAGGAAGGGACTTAAAATGTCATGCATTTTGTTTCAGCGAAGTAGGTAATTTCCTTTGGACAATATAGACAGTAGGCCACAGACCGACATCCATGACGTCTCTATAGTGACACATATAGCCAGTATCGTGGTAGCATGAGAGCTATTTTATGCCTTTGTAAGTCGTATTGCTTCATTATGACTGGGACAAGTACTGGCTGGGATAGTAAAGTGAAAACAATTATTTTGAAATATATATAAAATATAAGATTTAGAACCGTGGTTTCTGAAGGAATTGCCATGTAATTGCTGCTGACCCACATAACAGTTCAGTATTTTTTCCCTTCTGCATCAGTGTGCAACACTGTGTTTTTTATATTCGTTGTGTTTTGGACAGTTAGTTTCCAATATGACTATCCATTTTACTTCGAATGATTTGGCACAACCAGACGCCAGTCTGAGGTCTGGTAACTAAACACATGCAAAAGGAGACACAAGTTCCCAATCTCTGGAATAACGTATCCCACACATGGATTTAATTACAAGCCTCGAACGTTTTTACTTTGAAGGTCAACATTTGGAAGTGCGTTGGGGTATCCTTGTGGTTAAAGCGTTCACTCGTCGAGCCGAAGACCCGGTTCGATTCCCCACATGAGTGACATACAGTATATGAAACCCATTGCTGGTGTTCCATGCAGTGATTTTGCTGGAATGTTGCTAAACGCGGCGTAAAACTAAACTCACTCAAGTGTGAGCTGGAATATTGCAGAGTGCGGCGTGAAACAACAAACAAACAAAACAAACACTCTAAAGTTATTGTAAAATTCATATTTCATAATAAAACGATCGTTCTCTTCCAGTCATCTTAAAAAACTTCGTCCTTCGTATCCCAATTGCGTAGATTGATGTTCATGATGTCGATCACTAGATTGTCTGGTCCAGACTTTAATACTTATAATCCGCGACATATTTATATATAATACAGCTGAGATTGGCTTTCAACAACAGACTAAAACGTGTAGGTCGCTATGATATAGTTATAATATTGCAACATGCAAAAACATTTGTACATGTACAATTGATTACGGTTTGAATTACAAATATCGACTGTCGAGAGAAGAACTTTATTTGGAGCTCAAATAATCTTCAGCATCCGGATAGCATGAATGTAACATAAATCCACGCGTGAAGAACTAAGACATTTGATCATTGCGTTCAACGGCATAACAAAGAGCCATCTTTATCTGAAGCATCTTGTTTACTGCAGTTCTTCAATTAGACACCAGGGCACAATGTCCCAGTCGTCTGCGTGCTGTGGCAGAATCCTATAATCGGGTATTCGAACTGAAAATTCGCTATGAATAGAATTTTGTTTGATAGCATCATACTCCTGCTAACCCTTGCGAGTTAGTGTATAATCCGTTGTACGCGTTTGCCATTGTAAATGTTAAATTCTCCGAAGCTCGGGATCGAGTGAGTGAGTGGGTTTAGTTTTACGCCGCTTTTAGCAATACTCCAGCAATTTCACGGCGGGGGAGTCCAGAAATGGGCTTTACACATTATGCCCAGGTGGGGACTCGAACCCGGGTCTTCGGCGTGACGAGCGAACGCCTTAACCACTAGGCTACCCCACCCCCCACCCCGCCAAACTCAGGAAGCCCGTTGAGGGTGTTACTGTGAGGTCAAACACCGGGAATAAATATGTAGTGTTTGAAAATAGTTAAGACACTGGATTGACGAATTTGAATCGTACAGTCAACAGGAAGTGAATGCCATAGTGGAGCGACGGGAACGTAGATTCATTCACAGACACAACACCCTGGTATGTGTTCGTTTTGGTCCTCTTGACGATCTGGATAGCTGCGGTTCTGTTGCCTGAAATCAATGTAACTCTCTCTCTCTCTCTCTCTCTCTCTCTCTCTCTCTCTCTCTCTCTCTCTCTCTCTCTCTCTCTCTCTCTCTCTCTCTCTCTCTCTCTCTCTCTCTCTCTCTCTCTCTCTCTCTCTCTCTCTCTCTCTCTCTCTCTCTCTCTCTCTCTCTCTCTCTCTCTCATCTCAACACACACACACACATACAGGCGCTCAAACACAATAGCGCACACAAACACTAACACGCTATCATGAGGACTTTCTAATGCTCTTTCTAATGCTGAATTTGTGCATCTTAAAATATTCCATTCTTCACGGTTGTTTGTAAAAGTAAGTATGGACGATTGATTGTGTGCAGCGTCTCACTTCATCGTGGAACAGTGACAAAACACCTAACCCCTAACCCATTTAGTCTCCTCTAGCAACAAGAACATTGTACCTATTCCAACCCGGAATCTCCAGGATGGCCTCAATCACTTAACGCAGTACCACAATGGGTCACAAATACGTAGCATTTCTCTCTGATGACCCATAACGCACACAATGGTGCCACATCGGTGTTTCACGCCGGGCCATATTTCCTGATATAATAGGTCCGTGACCTTGATAGTCCGTCTGAATAAAGGGGTCAAAGGTCACCGGGACAGTGCCCTAACTATCCTAAGAATGGTCTCTCGTTGGCAACAAAGAGAAATGGGTCAGACCAATGTTCGAATTAGGAACATTTCATGTGTTAATGCTCAGCAGTTCTGAGGAAAGGCTAAATCAATTGATAATACCAAGAGCAGGGTTACATTGATTTTTGTAGGCTATGCGTGAATGATCTACGGGGCTACATCTGGCTTCTACTTTCAGATGAACTAAACCTTGTTTTATGGGACACTAAGGGGATAAGCCGGTTGAGACGATAAAATCTGTCAATGATATGTAGAGTCACTCTCTATCTGCCATCAGTTCAATCCTTTCATTTGTACGGGGCGGTGGGGCAGCCGTGTGGTTAAAGCGTTCGCCCGTCACGCCGGAGACGAAGGTTCGATTCCCACATGGATACAATGAGTGAAGTACATTTCTGATGTCCCCAGCTGTGATATTGTTGAAATAATGTTAAAATCGGCGTAAAAGTAAACTCACTCACTTCAATTTCAAGCCGACCGATTTAGAGTCGAGAATAGATATTACATTTTAAACTGAGCATTTTCGTTTTATGATATGAGTTGAATTCACTGTTTGACAAACGTCACCTAGCAAATACTCAGTATGTTGTTGAGTGGTAAAGATATCGAGAGAAGGGGCGATGGCGTAGCCTAGTGGTTAAAGCGTTCGCTCGTTAAGCCGAAGACCCGGGTTCGATTCCCCACCTGGGTACAATGTGCGAAGCTCATTTCTGGTGTGCCACGCCGGGATATTGCGGCGTAAAACTCAACTCACTCACTCAGCGTTCTTTAAAAGGGTACTGCTCAGATTCTGTTTGTGACAACATATACCTCGATGCTATCACTCGCGAGAGAAAATGCGTTTGTACAGTTATTCCCTAGGGTTTTGAAACAATCTTTCTTTTCTCCCATTCACTTACCGTCATGGCAATTCTTTCCTTGTTTAGTTCACCAGATCTCTTAATGACAAACTTTAAATTTTCTGTATCGATCTCAGTTTGTAACCAAACTGTCCCTTTAGCCCATTCACCTTCGTGTGTTGAGTAGGTGAGGTGAAATTGGGTTTAACGTCGTGCTTGAGAATATTTCGCTCATATGACGACGTGCATGCGTGTGTATGTGGGGATGCTTGTACCAGCCCAGACTGAAGCTGGTTTTATAGTGTTAGCCCACTGAGATACCACGCCGCAGGGAAGCATGAATGAGTGAGTGAGTTTAGTTTTACGCCGCACTCAGCAATATTCCAGCTATATGGCGGCGGTCTGTAAATAATCGAGTCTGGACCAGACAATCCAGTGATCAACAGCATGAGCATCGATCTGCGCAATTGGGAACCGATGACATGTGTCAACCAAGTCAGCGAAACTGACCACCCGATCCCGTTAGTCGCCTCTTACGACAAGATAGTCGCCTTTTTATGGCAAGCACATGGGTTGCTGAAGACCTATTCTACCCCGGATCTTCACGGGTCGGAAGCATGAATACCCCACTCAGACACATTATACTGACTCCGAGCCGACCAGTCCTTGTTGTACCCATTAATGCCGAGCGCCAGGCAGGGACCAACAAGTACCATATTTTAACGTCTTTTGGTATGACGCGGCCGGGTATCGAACCCGCGACCTTCCGCTCTCCGGGCAGACGCTCCAACCACTACACCACGGAGGTGGTCATGATGAGTACGTTATTTGAATGGTAAAGATAGGTTCTCTCTGGGATGCTCGTGATCAAAGTCTCAGGCATTCCAACCAACGAGCTGGTATATCTGTACTAGGCCTGTGTACTCAGATGCCCAGTGCGTGTTCCCTTATTTCAAGGTTAAAACCTCTAAATGTTCTAAACATACATCAAGCCAGGGACATGTGTCCCGTCTCGGTCAAGCTCCCTATCAAGTCTCCCGCCAAGACGTCGTGCAGGAATTCTAAAGGAAGCTAATTGATTATGAGGACAATCCACAAGACATTGAGTATGGGCTCTAAAATTAGACAATTTGCATGGTTTTCTCGGAA